AACTTGGAGATGCGTTTTTCATTTACATGACCAAGCCTACAGTGCCAGAGGTAGGTTTTATTTAGTTTATCTGTTTCATTCTTTTTCACTCACATTGAGAATTTGATGATCAAGATCTAGAATATATAAACCGTTATTCCAACTTCCAGAACCATAAAACACACCATTTTTAGAAAAAGAACAACATTTATTCTCCTGGGTTATCCGAAACCCATTTAAATCCAAACAGGAAATAGAAATGATGTTTGTAGTAAGTGCTGGAACACAATAACAATTTAATAATTCTAAAATCAATCCACTGGGTAAAGTGATATAATAAGTCCCTACAGCTAAAGCAACAACTTTTGCTCCATTGCCCACACGTAGGGTGACTTCTCCTTTTCCCAGCTTTCTACTGTCCCTTAGACCCTGCATAGATGTGCAAATGTGAGAACCACATCCGGTATCTAATACCCAAGAGTCTGATTTGGAAGTAGACACATTAATCTCAATCATATATGTACCTGATGATGAAGCTTCAGCAAGCTTCTTTTGCTTCAGGCTCTCCAAGTATGACTTGCAGTTCCTTTTCCAATGTCCAGTTTGATTACAATGGAAGCAGGTTGCTTTGGACTGGTCCGCCTTTGCCTTTTTGGGCTTTTGGGTGGGCTTGTTTTTGGATTTCTTAAATCCCTTTTCTTGCCTCTTCCTCTTCTTAGAGGAAGTAACGACAAGCACACCAGTAGAGCCTTTTCCCTTTTTGATTTCTTTCTCAGCAGTTTTCAGCACATTCAACAATTGAGGCAAAGTGTGCTGCAGATTATTCATCTGATAGTTCATAACAAACTGTGAGAAAGAATCTGGCAGAGATTGGAGCACTAAATCAACATTCAGCTCCTGATCCATCTTAAAGCTAATTCGGCCAGTTTTTCAATTAGCCCAATTATTTTTAAGACATGCGGAGCAACAGGTGCTCCCTCTGCCATCTTGCACCTGAACAATTCTTTAGAGGTATCATATCTAACCGTCCTTGATTGTTGTTCAAACAACTCTCTCAGGTGTTGTACAATATCATACGCCCCCATGTTCATGTGCTGCTGCTGAAGCTGAGGAGTCATGGAAGCTATCATGATACATGAAGCTTCCCTATTGTCATCCTTATGTTTCTTATAAGCATTTCTAACAGCAGCAGGTGCAGTAGGTTCAGGTTCCTGGGGCATTGGCCCATCAAATACATATTCAATTTTTTCATGAGTGAGAACGAGTAGGACATTGCTATGCCAATCGAGAAAGTTTGTGTCGTTAAGTTTGCAATCAGTGAGAATGGTATGAAGGCTCAAATTGTTACTCATTCTACGACAAAATGAAAAGATAGAATTTTTAGAAAAATGTTTGTTTAATAAAATCATAAAACTTCAAAAATTATGATTTTATTTCACTATATTCTCAAATCAATTACCCTTAAATTGATTCAGGAATTTTTTTTTTTAAAAATTCCATAGTGGCTAGGATCCCATCTTAATTTATTTCGATCTTGAGTGTATCCCAACAAATCGAAAATAATTATGAAAGGTAGGTACTTCACCAATTACAACTTATTTGTAATTCCTAGATCAGTTGGGCGTCAACTCTTGACTTTAAATCTATAAGAACCAACCCAACACTTACCTCTAAAATTAATGATTTTGAGTGAATCCCAACAAATAATAATTTTAGTTAAATCAAACCATCATTCTTTGAGAACATTTCTCATAGCAAAAACACGTAGTAAGTAAGGCAGCCTTGGGTGAATTCCAACAAGCTAGCACTTAATAACTACTCTAGTTTTAAACTATAATGATGGAAGGTATTTCATTGATTTAATATTGCAGTTGAGGGATTTGTCTCCTTTTCCAAAAATATTTTATAATTAAAATTTGGAAAAATTGCTCGTCTGGTCTCATCAATAAACATGCATATAACCATTTCATAACTTATAAGCATGAATTTAAATCGTGGATGGTTGTGGATATTCCTAAACTAATTTCCCCGGCCACTAGGGAAATTAGCAATTTACTAAGGTCTCTAAATACGAGATGAACCCCTTCGTCGTCGCATGCCTCCTTTCTGCTTTTCAAAAATTACAATTTCTATACTAATTATACAAATTCCTATCATCTATTTCCTATCTATTGTACATTACAAATAGTATAGAAGAAACCCCGAGTTACATTCGGGGGAATTTAGATGAGAGAAGAAATTACAATTAGAAAATAAGAAAGGCAGGACACGCAGGCCCTATTTTAAAATTAATTACAACCATTCAAACCTAGAATGATTGTAACCTTCCAAAATACCACAATCATATTGCGTACTATATCCACAACCATCCACCATGCATTTTCACAATTTAAACAACTTTAAATAAAAGAAAAGCATGTAAAATAAGCAATCTCAATTCATGGATTAATTGGATTTAATTCCTAAGGTCCCAAACAAAATTTGGGTCCATGCATATGCGAGAAATTTTGGCAAAATTAATTTTATTAGGTCATTGTTATTCCTAACTAAATTAGGAAGATAATTGGAAAGATAATTTCAATTAATCAAATTAATTGTGAATCAATTCCCAACCTAATAAATATGAATAATAGATCCCATAACACATTTTAACAATTAAAAAGGGATCTAATTCAAAAATTGTCAAAAGTTTTAAAACTTCAAATTCTCAAAACAATAGTTTCCTAAACCACTACTGCTCTTGTTTTCTAGCACTTCCGGCAACTACCACTGGACACCACCGCTTTAGCCACCACCGCTGAGGTCTCCACTGACCATCAATGGCAGCAACTCCCAGCGGCAGCCACCAGGGTGATCACTGGAAGCAACCACTCGGCTGCAACACCAAGGTGCAAAGTTTTCCCGTGCCTGATTGCTGCTGCTCTTCATTATCGCGCCTGTTTGCTGGATAGCGGAGCTACCACCGCAACAGCCACCACCACTGGAGTCTCCACTGACCACCAGTGGCAGCGGCTCCTGGTGGCAGCGGCTCCTGGTAGCAGCCACCGGAGGTCATGGGCAGCAACCGTGAGGAGGCTGTTGTGCCCTTGCCAATGCCTGTAGCAAATTTTCTACGCTTTTGTCCCAGAGAGCTCATAGCTCTTCTACCCGCAACCACCACCACGTACAATCTCCACTGCCACCAAGGAAAGCCACCATGGCCTCACATGGCAGCAGCAGTTGGCGGCAGCCCTTGCAGCCGCAACATCGCAGCAGCCGTAGTTTGCAAATGCAAACTTGCTATGTCGGTTTTTTTTTCTTTTTTCTCAATGATCATCCTGCAACTTTTGCAGATGATCAACTCATATCCACAGGTGAAGCAAATCCACGGAAAGAAAAAAACGTCTACGATCCAACAACAGCTCCATCCGAGCTTCCATAAGAGAAGACGTACGTAGCTTCAAAAGCTTCGTAAGAAAACCCTTTTTTTTGTTTTGAAAAACCAAAAAAAAAATTAATAATTCTCCCATAATTCCGCATATTCAATTAAATCCAATTAGCAATATTAATCCATGAATCCAAAATTGCTTAACATCATACGTAAAATTCTTAGGGATGCTCTGATACCACTGTTAGGTTTTAGGACACTATGCAGCGGAAAAATAAAATTTTTTCCCTAAAACTATCCAAGAATCACCCTAGATTTTACGTATGATGCACTAAAAGTAGGGTTATAGGATTACCTTAATCCTTGCGGCGACTCCCTGTAGCGTTGTTGAGGATGGTCAGCCCTTGAGCAGTCCAGTCGTCCTGCCTCTACTGATATCCACGCTAGAGTAACCCTGGGTCGTCTCACGAACTATGTATTGAAAAGCAAGAAAAAGTTGCTAGCCCTTCTTGCTCTTATTCGAAGTATGTGACTCTCACAGACTCTCCCTTTTCCTTTTTGTTTACCTTCACCCTCTCAAAACCATCCTCTATCTCTCCCTTAGGAGTTAAAAGGAGAGAGAGAGATAATAAGATAGAATGATGAGTCTTGCTATCTGATTCAAAATCAAACGATAAGACTTCTCATCACACAAGACTCTATCTATCAGTTATCTGACAGATAAGAGATAATCGTTCACTCTTATCTACTCAAATAGGCCTGGGATTTATTTTCTTTTAAAATTAAACCCCGATAATTTACATAGTTTTAATCCAGGATTAAATCTCTATTGCGTGTGACCCAATAGGTCCCAAATAAATTGGTAATAATTATGGTTTAATAATTAAATAAAATAAATGACTTTATTTTATCATAACTTATAATAAATAATTAATCCATAATTATAGATCACGAGCGGTGTCTAGCAACACATCGCAACCGCCCAATTACTCGAAATTAGTCAAGGGAATTTGACCTAACCTTTCCGTGAAAAATTACCGTGTAATTATTATCCTTTCACCAAAGATATCCAATTAGTCAGGAATAAGGAATAAGTGCCAATTCCCTGATGACTAATTAAGTTTTCTAGTTCCCGAAATTTACCCTAAATTAGGTTAAATTGAAGACATTCTTCAATTTACCTAATAGTCGACTTTAGGGTCAATTTCCCACTAGTGGCCATCCGGATATCAACTCCTTCTATCAGAGTGGTAAATCCTATCTCGATCACCCATTTTCTTTACATGCTTCACACTACATCCAACTTCTACACTTTAAGGCACTCACGAAGAGTAACAAGTAATTAGAGTCAAAATGTAGCGATTCACACTCAAGATACTATGGTGATCTCAAGTCGTAGGATCACTTATACAATTTTTCACTAGAGATACACCATTGGCACTAGATAGGTATCCTAACGGGATCTCTAAATGGATCACTCCAATGCATTTGTACTTTCCAAATCATCTACACATTAGCCTAGGTATCATCATACCATAGTTGATGAGAACAACCACTAATTACATTAATTAGAGGCTAACTGTGTACTAGTTTTACCGTACTAAAGATGTCCTATTTCATTAGTACTATAACTAGGGAATTTTAAGAATATTACTATAAATACGATTGATATCTCATAGTCATCAACTCTTGTGACTACCATCACATTAGTAAACATTCTAAGGACTTTATCAGTTATATCTAATATTTAACAGATAAATAAGAAGTTATTAAAATACAAAACATATAATTTAGGAATGTATAAAATAAAACAAATACATTGTTTTAGGGCATACATTCCAACAGAAGATTGGTGAACAACCATTACATTATGGTTCCAAAAGAGCAAATGGCCTTAAGGGGCACTGCCTTGTGTAATGTACCTCCCAACTCTTCGGTCATGTCAAGTTCTTCTGGTTTGATCCCTTCTTCAAGCTTCCACTCAAATTTATGAAGCAAAGAAGCCACCATGACGGGCACAATTCGATCCGCCAGTGGTAGTCCAGGACAAATTCTTCTTCCCGTGCCAAAGGCAAGGAGCTCGAAATGCTGGCCCTTCACATCAATCTCACTATTCATGAAACGTTCAGGCACGAATGAAGTAGGATCTGACCACAAGCTTGGATCCCTGCCCATACCCCACGAGTTAACCAGTACATCAGCATTTTTTGGCACCACGTATCCATTGATTTTTATGTCACTTTGAGCTTGGCGAATTATGAATGGAGCAGTAGACCGAAGACGAAGGGTTTCTTTAATGACCGACTGCAAGTAAGGGAGATTTGAGATGTCTGATTCCTGAACCAGATCGTTTTGTCCAACAACTTTCATGATCTCGTCCCTAGCTTTTGATTTTTTATCAGGGTTGCGTAGTAACTCTGCCATTGTCCATTCCACGGTGACTGCACTTGTTTCTGTCGCTCCGGCGAGTAAATCCTAAAATACAGTGGAGTTGGAATCAAATTATGGTCACCAGGTGATTTTTCCTTTTTTTTTTTCTTTTCATAATTCAGGAGTTATATATTAGAACCTGTTATATAAAGTATGTAGTGAATGGATAGGTACATTAATATTACTCACCACAATCAAATGTTTCATGTCTACATATTCATTTTGCTGATTAAGATCAAGGAGGGCTTCCAAGAAATCATTTTTCCTTAGATAAGTGATGGATGTATCTCTTTCTTGTGATCTCTGACGAATGACACCATCAATAATATCAAGCAACTTTCCGAAATATACCTTGGCTCTGCGCCTTACGCCCTGCGGATCAATTGCTTTGAGGATGGGAAAGAAGTCCACAAGATTGGCACAAGTAGAAATTTTGATCGTGTTCCATACCAATTCTTTCATCTCTTCAGACGAGGTAGAGTTAGATATGGAATGGGATTTTGCAAAATCAACTGAGAAGAAAGTGTTCCACATCAAGTCCAGAGATGTTGAGAAGGCAGCTTCACAAATATTTATGGCCTGTCCTTTGAGACAATGTTGGTGTACATAATTGCACAGTTGCTGCACCTTTTCTTGGCGAAGCCCTTGACTAGCATTGAGCCTTTCTGACGAGAAGATATGCTCCTTGCATAGTTTACGAAGATTGCGCCAGTGGCTTTGTGGTGGTAACCAGGCAATTGAGAGCTTATGGCGGTCCAATGCTCTGGCTGCATCTCGGATGCTTCTGCCTGATAACTCTAGATCATTCTTTTGAAACATTTCCTTGGCAATTTCTGGTGATGATACAACTATCATTCTTGCACTTCCGATTTTAAGCGACATCAAAGGTCCATAAGTTTGAGAAAGTTTTGTAACTGATCTGTGCAAGAGTCCACTGATTTGCAACAAGTTACCAATGACTGGCAACGGGTATGGCCCTGGAGGGAGTTTCTTGGACTTTTGGTCATTAGAATTCGATATGAGGAGAAAGTGAAAACAATACCAAATAACAGAAAACAGCGGTATTAGTAGCCACAAGGGAAGGGTGTTTGGACCATCCATAATTTCACAGCACCTAAGCAAAAAGGATTGCTTGAGTGATAGGATTAGCAGTGTGATCAGTGATGTTTTGGATACTGGGAATGAACTGAAGAAAGTGGATGCTATATATAGGCGCAATGGCCAGAGGAATTAGTACTAAATGAATGAGGCATCGACACAAGTCTAAATAGAACTTTCGATGAATATGCAACTGGGAGGTTTCTCCCAAAATCAGGTGCCTTTTTCCAAGGTTACACAGCCACCAAAATTTATTGCATAGATACATGAGGGGTCCCTGATTCTTGAATATGCAACTGAAGAAAAAAGAATTAGCGTCATGATTGGTCCCAAAAAAAAAAAAATTTTTGTAAAGTCAAGATCGCGTCATTGTTAATGCCATGTGTAAAGTTCACAAAAAATTCATTCTATTTAGTTATATTCAAAGTAGTTTACATTTTGTTTAAGCGTTGTTCTAACGGATGCGCATTTATATACCTTTTCTATTTAATCTTGCATACCTTCTCTTGTATTTATTTACTTTTCCAAATAATATTATATTTTTTAGAATATAACACCTGAAATATTTTTAACAAGTGCCCATAGGACATCGTTAGACTGACCATTCGTTTAAATGAACAAATCAGTTACAACTAGACCTGACAATTATGCCCAAAACTCAACAACCCACCCAACCCACCCTAATTTGAGAGTTGGGTTGGGTAATTTGGGAGTTGGGTCAATTTTGGGTTGGGTAATAAAAATCCAAATATATTTTGGACGGTTTGGATATTTGTGTTGGACACCCGTTACCAAACTTAAATTTAAAAAAAAATTAAATTCAAGAAATACAACTCGAGTGGTGAAGAAAATATAGAAGATTATGAATCTAGAAAGAAATCAAATTCTGTTGAAGCTGGCTGGAGCTCAAATGAATATGCTGCTACCCTACCACCACTAGTAGCTTTTTTGTTTTAATTTTACCGCCGGAAGCGGGAGATATCATATATACTAGGGAGTGAGGAAGGAAACCGGAAGAAGCGGATTGGACTGCAAACTGGCCTGTGACGGTGACTGTGAGAGAGTCTGTCAACCGATGCATCGGACAAGCTTACGTTATTGGCTTGTTTTCGGAATATCTGACTTTACATACGACCCATAATAAGTTAGTAGTAACTACTTGTACTACTAAGGGTCCGTTTGGTTGGAAGTAAAATGTTTTTCTTGGAAAAATATTTTCCGTGGAAGTAATTTTCCATGAAAATCATTTCCCTTTCATCATTTTCAGGTGTTTGGTTAGTTTATTTAAAATATTTTCTTACTTCACTTTTTTGGTGTTTGTTTAATTTTGAAATATTTTCACTTTTATCTCTATCTTTACTTTCTACACATTATAACTACATACTTCTTTCCATGCAAAATAAGAAAATTTATCTCATTGTTTAACTTTAAAAAATCTTGGAGAAATGTATATATGAATAAAAAATATCTCCTTAAGCAATAAACAAATTGCTGGCCATTTAGTGTCAAATATCAATCACATGCAATGCTTATTGTGACATATATCTTGCACTCTCACTGCTGAAAGTTTTTCTATAAAAAAGTCCCTATTATACATAATTAATTACTAGCATAGGATGAGTAGGATGAGGTTTTTTTTTATTTTGAATATACTAGGGGAGGGTTGGGTTGGGTGGTACGGGGGAGGGAGTGTAAGGAAGAGGTCTTGGGTTCGAATCCTCCTGTTTACACTAAAAAAAAAAAAGAACATACTACAAGATGTTTTCAGTAAGTTTGGAACATATTACAGGCACATGCATTTCGGAAAACAACTTCAGTAAGTTTGGAAGGGAAGTTATTTTCCATAAGATGAGTGAAAATATTTTACATAGGAAAATGTTTTCAGTAACTTTTGTGCAACCAAACACGGGAAATTAGGAAAATATTTTTCTGGAAAACATTTTCACCCGAAACAAACGGATCCTAAATAATCATCATTTTCATTTCAGTTGTGAATTTAGATAGTGATATTTGAACTAATTGGTTGAAAATTATATCTCTCTCATCAAAATTTCAGTTTAATTAAGATGATATTGGATTTTTTTATGGAACTAAAAATAGTTTAAATAGTTAGTACGTGCGTGTATTTGTGAAAGTATATTAGTGTATAAAAATAACATATTTCTAAAGAACTTAAGAAGTAAGTGTGCTTGTATCTGTGAAAGTATTTTAGTATGTGAAAATTTATAAAAATGTATTTGAGAGAATTTATGTATCAAAATCTATTATGACTCAATATGACCCAACCTAAAATTAATTTAATCTAAAGTTGGACGGGTTCGGTATAACCCATTTAAATGAAAATTCAATATCAACCTGTCCAAAACCCACCCAACCCATCCAATTGTTAGGTATAGTTACAACAGTTCGAAAAGCCAAAAAAAAAAAAAAAAAAAGGGCACTAGACTGTTTTGAGCTCCATAGAAGAGGGAATAGAGGCTGCTGACTTTTGCTAATGTTTGTTGTCCCCTATAATTCTAATGTGGGCTAGAATATTTCCTAAGAGCTCTACTCCAATGAATTTTACGATAAAGACTATCACATTATTCAAATCCATAAACGTGGTTTCTAAGAGCTCTAGGTTTCGGCACTGCATTTAGAACCAAGTCGTAGATAAGGTCCCCAACCTGAACCAATAGCAATTGCCTGCTTTAACGTAGGGCGGGCAAAAGCTGGTAAGCGTCATTTCTTGAACTTAGGAATAGGGCTTTTGATCAATAAAGCACATTTGACATTTAGTTTAAAATTGGTGCTTTTAGAGCAGTCTTTATATTTCAAAGAATAAAGAAAATTAACTTTAATAATTTTATTTATAAATTTTGAACTAAATGAAGCGATAAATGTATTTAGAATTCAAATTTGCAAATTCAAATTAAAAAAAAAGCACTTGTGAAAGTTTATACCCAAACAATATGATTAGACACTTAATAAATAATTTGATAAAAATTCTATTAATTAAGTGTTTTTTAATAAGCGATTGCAAGTCGATACCGGCCGAATTTAAATGCTGAAACAATAGCCTAGTAGAACCAAGTCCTGGCAAGCTGCCCAACCTAAACAGCACTATTTACTTAATTTTTTTTAAATTTTTGGCACAATGCTATTTACTTTTTTTTTTTAAAGTTCTGAAAAAAGCCGAGTTTATACTTAGAACAAGATCAGAACAGTAGCGTCTCAAAGTTAACCAAAAATACTGCAAACAACGAAGTTAAAAAAAATTAAACAATTATCATATTGCATCTAAAAAAATAAAACAATTATCATACATTCTACCATATAAAAAGTTTGAAAAAGAAAGTTTAGCTAAGTTATTGTCTATTTTATTGGAGTTGCAGCAGAATGAAGAGGAAATTTTCTATAATTTATGACATAAATCAGAGTTAGTAAAAATATTTACTAAAGCATGCTCATATTTAACTATTGCAAAAAAGATCCCGATCTAACCCATTCTTTTAACTTTAAATAGAATCAGTAAGAAGTACTGGCCTCCAAAATCAATGTAAAAGTTTAAAAATCTCTTAGGACTAAACTCATATATTTTCGTAGAGAACTGAGGTGGAGTCAAAATAATACTTTAACAACACTTTCAAGTATATCCAAGTTGAAGTTCTGAATCCAAACCTTCATTTGCTTTTAAAACCAATTTCCAATTCCAATGTAGCAATATTTTTCCTCTTTGTAATTGAGCTTTTGTTCTCAGGTAACTTGAAAAAAATCTTTTCTGCAACTTTACTCTTCAACAAATCTTGATTTTAAGCCATTTTATGGGGCATGAATGGATCAATTAATGATTAATAACACCACTTTGTTGTCCCATTTTCACATTGAGGAGTTCCAATAATAGTGAAAATTAATTGATTGTTTTAGATTGGAACATTATATTTGATTGATTGTGGGAATTGATTTTTGGTTTTTTAATTAAGCAAGTTTTATTGCTCACAGCAATAAATTTTCATCAACAAAAATTAAGCAATGTTTCCTTCTTTTCCACCAACATATTCCTTAAAAGACTAATTTTTATATCAAAAGTTTGGACAATTTTGAGAAAAACTTTTTTGAGCAATATTTTGGTGACTTGTTATAGTTTAAGACATTAAGAAGTGAGGATAATGGGAGAAAATGTGCATTAATAGTAGCACAAATTTGAAAGATTAACTGTACTTAAAATTTGGATACAATAATTATTTATCAGCTTCAGTACTCGTAGAAGTTTTGTCTTAGGATATTTTGAAATATTCCAGCCATTCTTTTTTTCTTAATCAATATGTTAATAATATAGTGAACTTAATTGGCAATTTAACCTTTTGTCTTGTCATTAACTTTTTTAAACCAACATATACGATATAATGACTTTAATCATCATTAAACAATAAGGCATAATATGAAATGATCATCAATTTCTAAGGGTGTAACAACAATAGAAAAGCACAGTTTAATCCAGCATATACGATATAATGACTTTAATCATCATAAAACAATAAAGCATAATAATGAACTTTAGTCATCATCAATGTGTAAGGGTATAATGGTACTAAAACAACAATAATACTAAAACTTAAAACACTACAAGAAATTTGGCATTTTGTGACAATATTCTCAGTGACAACAAAAAAACTTGTCACAATTGAGAAAATTAGTGACGAGTTTTGATGTCGTCATAGTTGACCGTAGGTACACTCTCAACAGTGACAAATGGGATAAGTCGTCACAATATGCATGACGCGCAACTAGCCAATGTGGCGGGAGATCACCATTGTGACGATTGGGAAATAGGTTGTCACTTAAATAAGTCCTACAGTAACAACTTAACATGCCGTCATAATATGGTTGCCAGTTCAGAATTAATGGAAGCAACTACTACTCGACACCGTCCAAAGTGTTTATTCCTAACTCACCTTCACTAATTCTACTATGTCACCCTAATTTTTTCAATATGGCTCATATGTTGTAAATAAATTTTATTAATTCTACTATGACATCCTGACTTTTACATTTAGCCCCTGATATCGTCACAATATGCATCGTTCCTTTAAC